TTTTTGTCCCCATTAGATTGTAAGGTCCTTGAGGGCAGGGACTGTCTTTTGCCTCTTTTTATATTCCCAGTGCTCAGAAGTGCCTGGTACATAGTTGGAGCTTAATAAATGTTGACTGATTCACCCTTATCGACTTTCATTTCTAATCAAACTGGCTTGCTGGCTGTTCACTCTACAGGGCTTTCCATTTCCTGATTCCATGTCTTAATTGGTCAATAAATTAAGTGCCTAATATGTACCAGCCATTTTGCTAAGTGCCGGGAATACAAAAAAAAATTTAAAAAATAAAATAAAAAGATAGTCCCTGCCCTCAAGGAGCTTATAATCTAGACAAAATACAAAAGGAAGCTGAAAAAGGGGAAGGAGGAGAAGGGTGAGGGCATGATGGCAAAGTCCAGGAGAGTAGCCGTGTCAGAAATGAAGAGAGAGTTGACCAGCTTCCATGTCTGGAATGCACTGCCTCACCTCTGGCTGCTGGGTTCCTTCAAAGCGCAGGCCAAAGTACCGCCATGAGGCCTCTCCTGAGCATCATCTCTGTAACTATGGTAGAGCCCACCTGGACGTCAGGAATTCCTAGGTTCACGTCCTGCCTCTGCCAGGACTGTGTGACCCTGGGCAAGTCACCCCATCTCAGTGGCCCAGGAAACTCTAAGTTACAGGTGAGTTGGCCATTAATTGTTAGAGGGACTTTCCACACTGGGAGTTCCCCATACTGATGAAATCACGAGTCTGGACTTTAAAAAAATATTGTGTATTTACTTACCTGTATGCTGTTGTTCAGTCATTCCAGAGGTGTCTGACTCTTTGTGGCCCTATTTGGGGTTTTCTTGGCAAAGATACTGGAGTAGTTTGCCATTCCTTCTCCAGCTCATTTGACAGATGAGGAAATTGAGGCAAACAGGATTAAGTGACTTGCCCACAGTCACACAGCAAGAAAGTATTTGAGGCCAGATTTGAACTCAAGAAGGTGAGTCTTGGGGCAGCTCGGTAGTGCAGTGGATAGAGCACCAGCCCTGAAGTCAAGAGGACCTGAGTTCAAATCCAGCCTCAGACCAATCACTTGACACTTACTAGCTGTGTGACCCTGGGCAAGTCACTTAACCCCAATTGTCACCAAAAAAAAAAAGTCTTCCTGACTCCAGGCCTGGTACTCTGTCACCTAGATGTATACAGTCTATAAACCCCACTCCAACCCCTGCGGAGGTCACATTTCATTTTTATGTACCTAGCGTAATGCCCTGCACCCAGCAGGCACTTAATAAATGTTGAATTAAAAAGCTATAGAATGGTTTCTTGGTGCTTAGCACAGGGCCTGGCATATAGCAGGTGCTTAATAAAAGCTTATGATTGGTCAGTTGTGGGTTGTACTACATGTTCTCTGAGGTTCCTTCAACTCTGGGTTTCTGTGTCTCTCTAAACTTTCTATCTCCTCCGGCGTTCCACACACAGGCCCTTAACATTTCCTTAACGAATGAAGAGGAGGAGGGAAGGACGGGTGAGACCCATAGGTTACGGCCCTATGGAAAGAGCACGGGCTCTGGAGTCAGAAAACACCGACTGAAATCCCATCTCGGCTGCTTCCTCCTGTGTGACCTTGGGGCAGTCACTAGGCCTCAGTTTCCCCATCTGCAAAAAAAAAAAAAAAAGGGGATGGGGCTAGATGGTCCTCGAGCTTCTTTCTAGTTCTACATCTATGATCCTATGACCAAAAGAAAAAAAAATTCTACAAGGGAACTTACCAAAACAAATACTTTAAGAGTTAGTCATTCACATGACCAATAATACTCCCCGAAGTCCTCAGTCCAAGGCCCCTTTAGCCCATTCCTCCCCCCGGGGTCGGGGTCAGTGGCAGGAAGCCAACATCTCGTCACAAATTGCTTGGGTGTCATCTCAAGGGCTTGGCTGCTCAGCAGACCCCCAAACAGCCTCCTCTTTTTCTCTAACTGAATGCGCAATTGTTCTGGTGTGGACTGAGGGGGCAGGCACCCTGCTTTCAACCTTGGGGGTTCACTGGTGTCTTTGTAAGCCACTTCTTAGTGGCCGAGTGCTTTACACAATAAAGTACTGATCTTGTCCTGTTCTTGGCAGCCCAAGGATAGGAGCGACAGACCATACACATAAGGGAATAACCTGGAATGATGAATACCAGACTGCCAAGCTGTGCAGGGCAGCTAGGTGGCGCCATAGTGCACAGAGTGCCATGACTGGAGTCAGGAAGACTCCTCTTCCTGAGTTCAAGTCCGGCCTCAGACACTTACTAGCTCTGTGACCTTGGGCAAGTCACTTCACCCAGTTTGCCTCGGTGTCCTCATCTGTAAAATGAGCTGGAGAAGGAAATGGCAAACTGCTTCAGTATCTCTGCTAAGAAAACCCCAAATGGGATCATGACAAGTTTGCCACAACTGGCGCAGAAACAATGCACTCCAACAAGTAACTACTATGTTTCACACACTGGAAATATGGAAACAGAAATGGAATAGGTCCTGACCTCAAGGAGCGTGCAGTCTATTGGTAGCTTTAGAGTTAGAAGAAAGGACCTTTCAAATCATCTAGTCTAATCTAGTAATATTGGACTGAACATAAGGAGGAGCAGCTAGGTGGCGCCATAGTGCACAGAGCGCCAGGCCAGGAGTCAAGAAGTCTCATCTTCCTGAGTTGAAATCTGGCCTCAGATGCTTACTGGTTGTGTGACCTTGGGCAAGTCATTTCACCCCATTTGCTTCAGTTTCTTCATCTGTAAAATGAGCTAGGGCAGGAAATGGAAAACTACTCCATTATCTTTGCCAAGAAAACCCCAAATGGGGTCACAGAGTGGGACACCACTGAAAAATGACTGAACAACAAAATACATAATGATCCCTCCACATATTGACCAAGAAAACCACATATTAACATTATCTATGTTCTATTACATATGTATTTTGTTAAATATTTCCCAATTACATTTTAATACTGATCCAGAGGCACTCAATAGTGTTGTATATATAGCTTCTGTTGCAAGAATATTGCTTGCTTTGTCTATAATTATTTGCATATTTTCTCTGTCATTAGAATGTAAGCTCCTAGAGGGTGGGAACTATCTTTTCACTCTTTTTGCATCCATAGTGCTTAGCAGTGCCTTGTCTCCTCATGTATGACTGGATCTCTAGACCAGATAAGTTAACTCTAAGATTATAATACATTGAGAAGGTGATGATCTGCAATCACAGAAGGAATTTCCTCACCAGGGTTTCCTATGCCAATAAAATCTTAAGTGCAGACCCTATCCCTACCCCTACATACACTAAATAATTAAGTCATTTAATCAACTTTCATAAATTGCATACATTTCATTAAGTAATAAAGTAATTTCGAGAGAAAGAATACTAAGCACTGGGGAAATGAGGAGAAGGAAGTCCAGGATTCTAAAAGGCAAAAGTGAGAAGGGAATATATGGGGAATTTGTGCAAAGGCAATGAGAAGGGGGATAGAATGGTCTGTCCTGGGAGTAGCTAGCTGGTCACTTTAACCACAACAGTGATTAAAAAAAAACATTCAGCCCATTTATCACCCTCTTTATGGTGGGATTCTCCAGCTACTGGGAGAGAAGCACATGTGGGCCTGGAGCTGTTGGCATTGGTGAAATGGAGGTACATCCTCCTTCTCCAATGTCAGTGAGGCTGGTAACTCGATGGGTACACAACTCACCGGCTTCTGGGTCTGGAAACCCAGAATCTTATCGATGCCCCTGACGGTGTCTGACCTCAGGGAAGCCGTTAATTGTTATTCACCCCAATTTCCTCATCTGTGACATGGGAATAATGCTGCTTACTCCCTAATTTCCCTTAAAGAAACTGGATCCATGTGAAGCAATTCTCTGTATGTACCAAGTATCCCATAAATATTTCTTTGCATAAATGTTGGGCAAATGAGGCCATCTTTAAATTTTGATTTCCTTTCAAAGAAAGCCTATTTCTTGGAAGCTCTAGAACAGATCTCTCTCTCTCTCACACACACACACACACACACACACACACAATCCTTGCATATAGTTCACAACACTCCCAAATAAGATTTGCACCAGATTAAAATGTAATTGGGAAATTTTGGCAAAATAAATAAAAATACAATAAAACATAATGTTCACGTGTGGGTTTCTGCATCAATACGCAACTGCAGGGATCCTATGTGCTATTTAGCGGCCCCTGTTTCTGCTGGAGCTGGACATCATTGCTCTAGAACACATTATAAAAGGGTTGGCAGCTGTTAGACATTTGATAACCACTTCCCTTTCTAAGAGTCAACACAGGATTAACAAGAATAGATTTTGGGGCAAGAAGGTGGATAGAGCACTAGCCTTTGAGTCAGGAGGACCCGAGTTCAAATTCTACTTCAGACACTTACTAGCTGTGTGACCCTAGGCAACTGACTTAACCCCAACTGCCTCAAAAAAAAAAAAAAAAAAAAAGAACAGATCTTAATTATAATCTCATTTCTCCTAGAAATGTGGGTAAGGAAAATGAATATGTATTTCAACAAAGCATTTGACATAGTTTCTTATGATAACCTTGTAGACAAGGATCAAACAATCAACAAACATTTACTAACCAACTCCTAGATCTCAGGCACAGTGCTAGAAGTCAACTGGCAGTGTAGTGGATAGTGCTGGGCCTGGTGTCAGGAAGCCCTGAATTCAAATCATACCTCAGATACTTAGTAGCTATGTGACTCAGGGTTGTTGTGAGGTTCAAGTGAGATTAAAAAGTGCCTATCTGGTACATAATAGGTGCTCTATAAATGCTTATCCCCTTCCCTCTGTAAGCATGGGAGATACAAAGACAGAGGATATGGGCTAAGCAATAATACGGTTACCTAGCTTCAAAACCAGCTGAATCATGTTACCCAAAGAGCGGTGATTAATGGATTTATGGAACTAGGTCTGACAGCTGGTAAGGTCCCAAAACTCCCATTCTCCCAACTGCCAATAGAAAACACTCTTTCAGATCAATAAGGACACCCAGTCCAACAGCTTGCTTGAATTTAATTTTCAGAAGACACAACTGCTTACAATTCTTCCACCTGGCTGCAGAATATCTTTCAGTTTTCAAGATTAAAAAGTCTTTACCATAATGGTACATTCACCTACAAAGCTAATACATGCTATTGAGTACTGAGTCAACGTTTTGGGAATATAAAATCTTTTTTTTTTTGGTCATTCTAATAATATGCAGTCAAGGGGCTCCCACGGGGGTAGGGATGGGGGGGGAGGAGTGTCATGCTTTCAACTATAAAAGGGCAGGGGGAATCAAAGTGAGCAGGTGGAGTGTGTCCTAGAAAGCCAATGCATTTGACAATAGCGTGTGAATAGCCGTCGTCACAGGGGAGGGCTTTCCCCACCTGTTTTGTTAATCATGCAGCTATGAGTTTTGAATAATCTTGGCAATGAATAAGTTCTTATTTCTGCTAAGGATGTGATTTGGAGCTCCACATAGTGGCTTCACTTACTCTTCCACCGTATTCAGAAGCAGTGATATTATGTATGGATAAAGGACTTTCCACCAAAAATCTTAAATCTCAAATCAGTCAAATGGATACTGCAAAGCACGCAGGCGACGGGCTGGTTAATTTCTAACAGCTATGGAACCAAGTCTGAGCTCATGCTTGGCTGGGTGGGAGAATGGTTAATGGAATTATAACACATTAATTTTGGCTTTGTAAATGCTCCCACTAGGCTCAAATCCCATCTTTAGTTCAAATCTCAAGAGGTGAATGGGGAAAGGGACCCTAAGGACCTAGTTCCCTCAAGATGCTCAAATTTCAGCTACGTGTCTCCCATGAGGGAGACATCTTTTATTTACACTAGAGAGGGATTGGGTTCTGGAGCCCTTCTAACTGGAGGGGTCCGTCCTGCCTGGCATGCAGACATTTCTCAGAACCCATTCCAATCACGATGAAATAAGAGTTTTAGTGACACTTGTTCTCTGGGCAGGGTATATTTTTAGACTGGGCTGATGTGTTCTTTCTCTGTGGCCGAGGAGGGAGTGCTTGAAAATTGGCTCGAGAGCCAAAAGGACGGGCCTGGATAGTTCATGCACTGATGGAAGCATTAGTTTAAAAAAAAAAAAAAGACTGTCTTAATTTGAAGGCCGAGGAATGAGAAAGGACAGCGACTTAGTCAAGACCATGAACTGAGTTATTTGGGGAACTGGGAAGAAATACCACATGGGAATCCTCCTGTCTCATCCTATCACCCAAGGTGTGGACGCAGCTATGGGATGGAGGGTTGGGGAAACCAGGACAGCTTGAGGAGGCCCCCAGAAATGACAAGTTAGCAGCAGCTACAGAGTTCTTTCCATCACTTCAGAGTTTAAAATGTTTCCCTAGATGGGTGGCTTGCTTGGAGATGAGAATGCCACCCATATAATACACTTCCCCCCTCCCCCCCCCCGCACGACTTTTGGGTACCTGCTTCTCAAACGGACAGCTGTAACGAAACATCTTTCTCCTACACAAAATGCACTTAGTGAGAGACATAATACTTGAGATATCATAGAGAGGGAAATGGAAAACCACTCCCCCCTACCCCAACATGCATACACACACACACAGACACACAGACACACACACACACACACACACACACACACACGTTCCTTCAGGCTCTTTCCCCTTCCACTCAATTAAACAGAGAAGCTCCCAGCTACCACCACCAAGAGCCCAGCCATCATGGTTGCCTTGCTGACTGCGGTCCCCATCCCCGCAGCATTGCATAGGTCACGTTGGCAGCAAGAGTAGCGGGCACTGGCAATAGGAAAGGCTGCTTCAATCTTCTCTATGTTGCAGTCAGCATATTTCCAACAGGAATGGTAGTAAGCTCCACCTTTAAAGAAACACACCCAGAAAACAAGTTACAAAAACAAGCGGTTACACATTACAGCTGCTGCTTCCAGAGCTCACAAAAAGGGGAAGGAAAAGCACAGATAGATAACACATAAAACCATAGATTGAGAGCTAGAAAGGACCTCTTAGACATTATTTGGTCCAACCCTCATCATTTTACAAATGAGAAACAAGAGTCCCAGAGAGGTAAATATCTTGCCAAAGGACATACAGGGAATAAGAAGCAAAGTTGGGATTAAAACTCTGACTCTGAAAACAGTGTACTTTTCACTATGCATAGTTGTGGGTTTGTTTTTTATCCTGATCTGTGATTTCATCAGTCTTTTTTTTTTTTTAAGGTAATTGAAGTTAAGTGACTTGCCCAGGGTCACACAGCTAGTAAATGTCAAGTGTTTGGTCTGAGGCTGGATTTGAACTCAGGTCCTTCTGACTTCAGGGCCAGTGCTCTATCCACTGCGCCACCTAGCTGCCCCTTCATCAGCTTTTGAATGGAGGTTGGAGGATTGGGTAGGGTGCTCCCAGTATGGACATTTCCTCCTCCAATTTGGATCAGCAGCTCAACTGCCACTTACCAGCTTAGAGAAGTGCGTGGGGGCACTGAAACATCTAATAACTTGCCCATAGCTTGCCAGAAACAAGACTTGAACCCAGATCTTCCTGAGTCAGAGGCCAGTTCACTCCCTGTCTTGCTGTGTCTATCAGCCCATCCTCCCAGCCTACTCAGCTCCCAGCCCAGCTCCATTCCTCTTTTCATGCTGGGGATAGGATGACTTGAGCTGCCAAGTCTCCTCAAACAATATTGTACAGGGGCAGCTAGGTGGCGCAGTGGATAGAGCACTGGCCCTGGAGTCAGGAGGACCTGAGTTCAAATCCAAACTCAGACACTTAACACTCACTAGCTGTGTGACCTTGGGCAAGTCACTTAACCCCATTGCTTAGCAATAAATAAATAAATAAATGGGTAGATAAATAAAAATAAACAGTATTGTACAAAGAGGAAAACTGAGGCAGGGAAGGAAGGATTCCTTGCATTTCTCGTGGCTCTAGCTACCATCATGATTCTGTAAGTGAATTCATAAGAAACAAGTAATTATTTTTTAGAGGTAAACTACAGTATGAGAGAGAATCCAGGAAACTGATGATCTAAATTTGATAGAATCACAGGAAATCAAAAGCAATCTCACGTATGGAAATGGGAATGTAAAAGGAAATCAGAACTGTGCTTCCGGCACTGGCTGGCACAAAGGTGCCCAGGTCAGCACCTTCAGCAAGCTTAGCTCCTAAGAAGCTTGCCTGCACAGATTTTCCAAGTTGGTCAGCCACTTCAGATCTCCAGCTTGGTTTCCCAAGTTGATCGCCCAAGCGGAAGAGCCGACACAGTCCCCAGGCAGGTGCCTTACCATTCATAGCAGTTACCAGTCTACTATGAAGTTTGCCCCAAGTAATTGTCAGAATAACTGGGGCGGGACCAGAAGTTCCTAAGTCCTGGCCTGATCTTCCTAAGTGAGCTTCCAGTGGTACCAACACTGATCCCAAAAAGGTGCAACTCTAGACCGCAGCGGTGACCGCGAAGGGATGTTGAGAGCAAAGAAAAGGGGAGGTCATTACCAGAAATAACCTGCAGGCACGCGTCCTTCTCAGCTTTACAAGTGACGTTCTCGGTGCAGGGTTGTACGGGAGAATTGCACTGGAAGCATTTCAGAGCACCACCTGTAACATAATCAGAAAAACTAACATCAAAGACCCGTTAGGTTGGCAAAACTTAGGATCACAGAATGCCAGAGCTAAAAAGGGATCTGAGAAACCAAATTTCTTCATTTTACAGATGAGGAAACTGAGGCAACCACAGGTGAAACAACATGCCCAGGGTCACACAGCTAGCAAGTCGCTGAGGCAGATTTGAACTTAGATCTTTTTGTTCTGGAATAGTGTCTTATCCCCACTACTGAACCAAAACATATCTCTTGACAAACACACGATGAGACACCAACACAAATCCTATCCACGTCCTTCAGAGGCTTAAAGTCTAAGGCTGCCAGTATGGGAGCACCTTTGTCCAGACTGTCTGAACCTGATGCTTGGCATACTCTCATCACGGCTTCTTAGGATTCTGGGCTTCCCTCAAGGTCAAACTCAGACGCTACCACCTACACGAGCCCTTTCCTGATCCAATTAGCCATCAGTGTGCTCTCCCTCCTGATACTACTTAGAATAACTGTGTATTTGGTATTTATTTATCTGTATACATGTCACATCTCTCCAGCACAATGTAAACTCCTGGTAGGCACAGGGACTGTTTTTAAAAATTATTTGTATTTCCAGTGCCTTGTACTAGGAGCTTGATAAATAAATACATATGGAAATGGACAGGATGAACAGAAGAACTCACAACTGAAAAGATGTTGGAGTTTTAATGATAAGTATGTTTGATGGGTGGAGGGCAAGAATCCCAAAATCACTGATTTCCAAGTTAGAAGGTACTTCCATTTTAATGCTATACCAATCAAATTTACCAAGGTGACTATTTATAGAACTTGATAAAATAATAACAAAATTCATTTGGAAAAATACGAGATCCAGAATACAGAGGGAAATTATGAAAAGAGATTGAGATGAGGGGAAAAGAGCATTTGCAGACCTATGTTATAAAGCAGCAGTCATCAAAACCATCTGGTAGAGTTTAAAGAATAGACCGATAGATCAATGGAACAGCCTAGAAAAATGAGATTCAGAAATAACAGAACTCAATAACCCAGTGTTTGGTTAAGTGGAAAGTCTAAATTACCTAGGGAAAAACACTCTCATTCGATAAAAACTGCTAGGAAAACTGGAAAGCAATCTGGTAGAAATTAGGCTTAGACCAACATCGTATACTATATTCCATAATACGTTTTAAGGATACACAACGTTAATATTAAAGATCACACTGTTAAAAAAAATTAGGAGAGAAACAGATCATATACCTCTCACAGCTATGTAGAAGTGTTCTTAACCAAACATAGAGGTAATTAGGGGCAGCTAGGTGGCACAGTGGATAGAGCACCCTGGCCCTGGATTCAGGAGGACCTGAGTTCAAATCCGGCCTCAGACACATAACACTTACTAGCTGTGTGACCCTGGGCAAGTCACTTAACCCCCTTGCCAAACCCCCGCAAAAAAACCCCAAAAAATAAAAAATAGAGGTAATTACAAAAGAGAAAATGGATAACTTTGATTACTCAAAACCAAAAAGCTTCTGCACAGACAACATTAATAAATCTAGGATAAGAAAGCAAGTGGTAAAATGGGGGAAAAAATTCTTAGTATCAGATTTCTCTGATAAGGGTTGAGTATCCAAGATGTAGATATAGACATATATAAACATACATATACATACACACATATGCCATTCTCCAATAGATAAATGATCAAAGAATAGGAATTAACAGTTCTCAAAAGAACTGCAAAGTATTTACAACCACATGAAACAATGCTACAAATTACTAACAATAAGAGAAATACAAATCAAAACAACCCTGTGGTTTTATCTCATACCCTAAAAATTGGCAAAAATGACCCCCTCCCCAAATGGCAACAGTCATTGTTGGAGGGCTTGTGGAAAGATAGGCACACCAGTACATTACTGGTGGAACTGTGAAATGGTATAACCATTTTGGAAAGCAATTTGGAACTATGTAAATAAAGTGACTAAAATGCCATATCCTTTGAACCAGGGACTCCATTACTAGGCTTATACCCCAAGGAAGACATTAATAAAAAGATAGTTCCCTTATACTCCAAATTACTTAAAGTAGCACTTTTTTGTGATGGCTAAGAATTAGAAACAAAGTAGATGCCCATTGATTAGGGGATGGCTAAACAAACTGTGGTACATGAATGTAATAGAAAACTACTTTGCAAGAAGAAATGATGTATATGGTGAATACAGAGAAGTATATAAAGACCAATATAAATTGATGCAGAATAAAGTAACAGAACCAAGAAGACTAGATATGGTAACTACAGCAATGTAAATGGAAAGATGGACACACCAAAAAATCAAAAGTAATAACAAAATTTTAAAGACCAAGTGGGACTAGAATGAAGAGATATGAGAAGAAATGCCTAGCCTGCCATTTCATGGAGCTGGGAGGTCCACAGGTGTTACAAATGGCACGTGGTTTGATTTTTTCAATGTATCAATCAATTGTGCTGATTTTTTCCCTTCTTTTCTCCTCCCATATTTGTTACATGACTATTTGTTACATGAGATTGGCTCCCTGAGAGGGGGAGGAGAAGAGCAAGAGATACTTGAGATAACTATGTTGGGATAACAGCAAATATCAATAAAAAATTTTTTTAAAGAAGGTACCTCCAACCATTGCTCCCCTTGTGGCTGTCTTAAGACTCTAATTGAAAACAAAATAATATAAACTCTTTGATGACACAAAAAAGGGAAAAAAAAAACCTCACAAAAGACTGATTTCATTAGGGAGCTGCCCATTTCTTTGCATGTGCATGTGTTTAATTTTTTATTACTATCATCACCTACATTTCCCAATGTATCCCTACCCTTCCCAGAAAGCCATCCCTTATGAAAAAAAATTTTTTTAAATTGTAAAGTTATGCAAAACTAACACATTGAAAAGACTTGACATTATATGAGTGTTCTACATAGTCTCTCTCTCTCTCACACACACACATACACACATACACACACACACACACTGTAAATAAGGAAAGATGGCAGCTTTTCCTATCCTTCTCACCCATGGCATGGAGAATGGATTGTTGGAATGTAGAGGGCTGCCTTTGATCCAGTAAGACCTTTGCAGGTACCTAAAGTTGGAGGCGGTACTTTCCAAGGAACCATGGTCAAATTCCTGGCCCTGATGGTGCTAACCCACATCCCTGTAACTCTAGAAACGCAGCTGTGCTCCTTCTGACCTATGTGGTCACTTCCCAAGATTCTCTAATCTCAATTCCCTATTCTGAAAATAATGAGGCACAGGACTTCATGATTTCTAAGTTTCCTCTACAGCTCTAAAATCCTATGATTCCCAGTGGAAAAATCAGACTTGACCAAAAAACTTTTTCTTAATCCGGTCTCAGACACACGATACTCGCTAGCTGTGTGACCCTGGGCAAATCACTTAACCTCAATTGCCTCGCAAAAGCAAAAACAAAAACAAAAAAAACACAAAAAACACCTTTTCCTTTATCTGACACATAACAGTCCTTACTGACTGGCCTCCCTGGAGAAGCATCCTGAAAGAGGGGAATGGTTTAAATCTACTGCTAACTTAGGAGAGAAGTTTCAGTTGAATGATGAGGTCAGAAGTCAGACTGTACAGAATAAAGAAGGTTCGTGAAGGAGAGAAAAGGAAGTAGATGGACTTCTTAAGGAGTCTGGTCACAAAAAAGGAGGAGAGACACGGGACAAGACCTGGCAGGGATGGAACGACAGATCAAGCGAGTGTTTTTTGAGAATGCAGGAGATAAGGGCGTGTTTGCAGGCAGTTGGGAAGCAGCCGGTAGACAAGGGGAGACTGAAAATAAGTGAGAGAGCGGGACAGTCTGCTGGAAAAGATGGGACAGAATGGGATGCCTCCTGTGTGTAGGGGCAGTGTCGTTGGCAAGAAGTGCCACGTCATGATGTGAAACATGGAACAGGAAGTGGCAGAAAGCATCTGGGTGAGACGAGGTAAGGAGGAGGAGCGAGGAGTAAGTCAGGGTTTTCTGTAAAATGAGGGTAAGGTTCTCAGCTGAGAGGACAGGGAGATCCATGGGAGACTCGGGGAAAGATGAAAAGGTCTGGGAGAGCTACCAGGAAAAGTGGGATAGTGACTTAATTAGGGAAGGATCGCCAGCAAAAAGGAGGTCCCCGCTGAGGCCGTGTAACATAAATTTGTAGTGGGTCCAGTCAGCAGCTTTTTGTATTTTTCTTTAATTATTTCCAACTTCAATCAGCAGCACACACACAAGGGTGAAGGCAGGGCTTGGTGGGAGCGATCCAAGGCCTGGGGGGAGCTGGGTAGAACTCTCAGAGGAAAAAAAAAAATGGACCTTCACTGGCACAGCAATCCAGATGAAAAGACCAGAGCTGGGGAGGAACTTTGAAATACAAGCAGAATCCAGAGAAATCCAGAGAAACTGAGTCAGGTAAATTTCTCTGAGCAGCTGGGAGGACCTATATGATGAGGGGCTGTTAACACTATACAGACAGAAGAAACAAGTATCTCCTCAAAATCCAATATCTTTGAAAAGTATTGAGGAAGTGCAGGCAGTAAATCAGGGGGCCTAAGGGTAGACTGGTTCTATTCTGAGGGTTTTAAAAAGAAGGATGGAAAAAGGAGACTGGAAGAAATGAAACAGACACTTTATTTCTGCTTCTCTTTCTCTCTTCTGGAAGGATGTAAACATGTGGGATGTGGTCAACATTAACGACAAGTCTGAAACAAGATTTCCCCACCTTTCCACTGTTAAGATCAAAGGCACGGGGTCGAGGTCCTGGGTGTGAATCTCAGTTCTTTGTATTTTTACCCTTTGCCTTTGGAGAAGTTTCTTAACCTCATTAGGGCCTGTTTTTATCACCTGTAAAATGGGGGGGAGGGGTTTGAACTAAATGATTTCTTAGGGTCCTTCCAGCTCTAAATCTAGAATTCTATGAGATCCTCCCACTTCAGGAAAAAAGTCCTTGGATCCTCTGAATCAACCTATATAAAAGAGACATTGGTTTTTTGTGTATTTTATATAAACACATCTATCTCTCTGACCATCCCCACATCCCTTGTCCACAAAACTCCAAAACAACTTAAATGACTAAGCCATGGAGTCACAGATCATGGATTAGCCATCAATGAAGCCAACTACCTCATTTGACATATGAGGAAACTGAGGCCCAGAGAGATTTAGTGACTTAACCAAATTCGAACAAGCCCTAAATGACTGAGCTGGAATTCAAACTCGGATCCTGTATTCGAAGCAAAGTTCATCGATCATTCCACATTCCGCTGCAATGCCTCTGTCCTTCTGAAGTAGCTCGTTCTCTGTTCCTAATCCAACATTAACCCATGTGTTCTTGATTCTAAATCCTGTTCTACACACCCCCTACACACCCCGTGTGTATGTGTATATATACATACACACATACATATATACACATACATATACTGTTCATATATGTGTGGGCATATATACACACTGTGCATATATATACACACACGCATGCACATGTTATATACATAAGCACATGTTATATACATATGTGAATTACCATGTATCTATACATCTATGTATTGTGTACACATATATACATGTGAGTTGTGTGCACACATGAATATGCTATATGTGTATGTATACATATACATGTGTGCGTTGTGAATATATAAATATGTTCTGGATGTGCATGCATATGTGTATGCATATATACATATTGTGTACGCGTATAAATGTTCTATGTATATGCATATGACACACATTGTGTTGTGCATATATAAACATTATGTGTGAATATGTGCGCGTATATATACACATACACAGTGCAATGTAGAAACACGTCACATATGTGCTCATGTGCACATACACACTGATGCGACGTATAAGTATCGTGTGTACATGTGTGTTAATCCATACACGGTATATTCTATACACATACACATGTGTACACACGCATGTGTATGTGTGCTGGGGACATATATAAATGTTATGTCGTAGATATATGCGTGCATGTCCACAACACCTATACATATAACTGTTGTATGCATGTACAAATGTTATATGTGCATATATGTCTACACACACATATATTTAGAAGACGCCCTCTAGATTAGAGCTTCTGGAGCTGACCTCCACTGGTCCAACCCGCTCGCTGTCCACAGGAGAAAGCTGAGGCCCAGGGACAAAGGAGAAGGAAAGGCGTGGCGCTAAGGACACAAATTCATTCCTCTTTCCTCCCCTCACCGGGCTCTCTTAGCAAGCAGCCCAGACGCGCTGGCTTGGCTGGCTCTGTGACTGAGGGAAGGGCTGTAATACAGGAAGGGGCCATTAGCAGAGGACAGGGGCTCCATGTCAGGAGAGCGGAGAGGACCAGAACACAGGAAGGAAGGAGGCGGGCCCAAGGCCAGGACTCTCAGCTAGCCCGGAGCTGGAAGCGAGGGTGGCGCCATACGTTCTTGGCTCATTCACGGGTTGCAGGATCAGGGCTGACCCACCTGGACTACAGAACATGGCCAGGATCAGGAGACCGAGGACCAAGATGTGCATCCTGATGCTTCCCATCACGTCAATCTCTTCTAGAACCTGAAGAGGAAAAAACATTCCAGAATGACTCCCCAGGGGTTTAAATAGCCATTTGGTATCCAGGACAGCTTTTTAGATTAAAAAATTGACAACACATGGTGTTCTTTTCTAAACATCTTTTGTCCCTTCTGGCCCCCAGGATTCTACGTCTAGAGAGAGAAGGGACCTCAGAATCCATTTGGTCATTTTACAGACAGGGAAACTGAGATCCAAGGAAATTAAGTGACTTGTCCAAGATCACACATATAAGTAGGAGATGTGAGATTTGAACCTAGGTCCTTTGACACCAGAGCCAGAGTTCGTTCCATGCACCATCCTGCCCCAAAATAATAATACCACCTGATGTTGCTAGAGTGTGTTAGAATTGGCAGAGTGTTTTACCCATGTAAACTCACTCGAGCTTTATATCAACCCTAGGAGTTGGGATAGATATCATCAAAATGATTTTACAGATAATGAAACTGAGGGCCAACTAGGTGGTGCAGTGGATAGAGCACCGGCCCTAAAGTCAGGAGGATCTGAGTACAAATCCAGCCTCAGACCAAAAACTTGACACTTACTCGCTGTGTGACCCTGGACAAGTCACTTAACCCCAACTGCCTAAAACAAAACAAAACAAAAAACAAACAAACACAGATAAGGAAACTAGGCACAGAGAAGTAACGGTGACTTGCCCAGCATCACATACCTAGTAAGTATTCTGGGCCAAACCTAACTCAGACCTAACTCCAATAATTCAGCTCGGGGCTAGAGTGTAATTAGGGATTTTTGCACCATAAAATGCAATACAAACCAACTATGCTCATGACAATATTAAAAGAGATACAATTCTTAATTCAAATAAAATGTTACTCCCTTTTCTCTTTTGAGTTCACTATAACAATTAGCCACAATTAGCCACAATCAGTGAGGAGGCGGCCCCAGCAGGGAAACAGGAATTCCACAAAACATCTGGAGCCACAGTTCCCTGGGAGGCTGCCCTTTTATGTCTGACGACAAGGAAATCAAATCGGCAATTCGGATTCCAGTCTCCCGAGCCAACAAATCCCAAAGACAACTCCCAGTTCCCTTAAAGGGAAGCCCCCTCAGTCTAGTAAAAGAGGCACGTTCCTACCTCGGTGCCAAGCAAAGGAACTGAAAGCCAGGCCCTCTGAGTGTGTACCTCTGACAAGGAACCAAGATAAAAGAGGCAGCTCATGTTCTCAAAACTAGAAGGACACTCGAACTCCACATCTTACAGAAAAGGAAGCTAAACTTCAGGCTAAATGACTGGGCCAGAGTAACAGCTAATTAGCAGCACAGCCAGAAGAAAAACCCAGGTATTCTAATCCCTAGGCCTGACTTAGCAGACCACTAAACTAGACCTGGGTGCCTCGATCTAGTAGACTGAGGAATACAAAAATGAATGAATTCATTAATTACAATGGCTGGGTTGAAATCACTACACCTCCACTTAGCCTTAGTACATTTATCCTCTGAGAACACAAGTTGATTGCTTACTAGGTGTGAACATTGCCGAGCTGCCTAGCACCCTAGGTTCTATCTGGATTGGCCAAGGCCCTTGTTTATGCCCTCTGGGGGCTGTATGAAAGTAGCCAGGAATAGAGGAATTCCCACAAAGGAGAGCCATTTCCTCCTGAGACGAAAGTACATGAGGGAGAAAAGTGCTTCTCCCAGGGCATCAGCCTCTTCCTATCCTGATTGTTGTTGGAGAAAGGCCTTATGAGCTTTCAAGGGTCTGGAAGCCTCTGAACTTTGAACTTCACATCTCTCCATAGGTATCTCCCAGCAATATCCAGAACAGCTGATGGAGACAAGGACAGACACATATTCAAGGCTCTACAAAGAGTCCAACGACAAAACTCTACCGTGCCTAAAAGCACGAAGACTCCACCAAAAGGACTTCGAAGAACTGAGTTACTCTTTTCCTGTTTCTCCCTAAGCTCACGTCCACTTTTCCCTAGACTCAGTACATACTCACGGGAAAGTTGGTCACAGACTTTAAGGCAGAGGGAAGATGTTTTGTACCAACTATTCTTACCGTTACTACTACTATTCTTATCCCTACTTAGTAACATTCTTCTCTAAAAGATAATTCAGTCTGGGCAATTGCAATCAACCAATACTCATGGCAAAGACTTTGGGACTAGAAAATTTCTTCCCAATTCCTCAGGGCTACCTCCTCGACTCTGATGGGACCAGCAACTAAGCTCTGGCTTATGAGCTGCGATGGGATCTCTCAAGCATATGATAAAGAATGAGTAAATGGAAAAAAAAAAAGCATTTATTAAGTGTGTATTGCGTCCAAGCAATGAAGATACAAATGCAGAAGACGAGCCGCTTAGAGCTTAAATACAGGGGAGTTCATCTATATGGAAACGGTGGCCAAGGAAGGGTGTTCTGGCCTGGGAAACCACGGAGAAGGGTGAGTAGAACAGTAGGGTGGTCCACTGACATGCCCTTTCCAGGGACAATGGTAGTTTTGAATTGAAGGGGTATATAATTTATTCTTCCTAATCTCTGGGAAAGGAGAAGATATGACTTCTCTCAATAACTAATTTCCACACTGAATATGTTTCTCTGTCAGGAAGTATCCCCTGGCAGAGGTGGAACCCTAAGATGGGCAGCCCCCTGGCCTGACTCAGTGTGGCATTTCCTTGTTCTAATCATTTTTTTTCTCCGTCTCTAACCTAAACCCCTCCCTATTCAATTGAAGGTCAGCCCTTTATTGTTCTAGTCTGGCTGGGTCCACAGCCTGACCCTTTGTAAATAAGCTGGCAGAGGCAAAGCGAGTTAACCAAAGCTCAGAACAGGACCTCACAGTCTACAGCCCTCCGATGACCTAGGCTTGGACAAAGGAGCTTACTTAATCAGAGGGCAGGGCAGGGTCCAAAGATTCCCTAGTGGGGACAAAAATAATAAACCTTCATGAGTCATTGCCATCAACCAGGGAAAACCCAGGAAACATCTTTAAATCAGGAAAGAATTAACTGCCCATATTCTCATCTTTTTTTTTTAGGCCTGCTACTACACATTTCTGCCATTGACTTGACGAAGCTGGTCAGAATCATCCAACTCCTCCGACTAGCTCTCTGAGCCCCATGAGGCTTCCAATCCTCTTGCCTCCTCACCAAGCCTCCTTCTAGGTTTTGGTATCCCAGTATGAATGTAGAGAAACAGAGAAAGAGGCTAGAGCTGAATTCTTGGCTGGAATCTCTTCAGATTTGTCTACTGCCTTTCCTCTCTATGTTGGGATGGAATACTGTGCCTACTGAATAAATTCCCTTTCCTCCCATGCTCTTATTAAGGATCCTGAAAAGAAAAAAAAAAGGGGAGGACAAATAGGTGGCATAGTGGATAGAGCACTGGACATGGAGTCAGGAGGCCCTGAGTTCAAATCCAGACTCAGACATATATGACCTAGCTATGCGACCCTGGGCAAGTCACTTAACCCCTAGTGCCTCAAAAAAAAAAAAAAAAAAAATAGGGGCAGCTAGGTGGCACAGTGGATAGAGCACCAGCCCTGGATTCAAGAGGACCTGAGTTCAAATTGGGTCTCAGACACATAACACTTACTAGCTGTGTGACCCTGGGCAAGTCACTTAACCCCCACTGTCCAACCAAAAAAAAAAAAAAAAGGACCCTGGGGGGTGGGGGTGGAAATCACCAAGTTTTAAAGCCTGAAGGGAGCTCATGGCCAACCCATACCCTACAAAAATCCTTCCTAAAAAATGTAAAAATAGAAAAAGAGCTGCTATAGTCAAGTTTAGCCCACAGTAATACCTGCTGGTTACATAAAAAAAGAAGAAAAAATGGTCTCCTAACCTTGGTGTGATGACCTCAGTAAGAGGACCCCCAGCACCACCAGAGGCAGCTCCTCCTACCTGGGGACCGATGGAATTGTTAAAGTTTTTCCAGAAACTGATTTGTTTATAACTTCTTCCCATTGTTCCCAGGTCTGCCCTCTGGGACCCAACAGCAGTCCTTTAAACACTGGAAGATGGTTTAGCAAGCCTTCCCTGAGCCATTTCTTCTCCAAGGTCAACCAACCCTGGTGTGTGTGGGGGGGGGGGGGACCCCCCAGTGCCTTTCAACATCCTGCTTGTCCTCCTCAGGTAGCCTGATAAAATCCCTTGGGGTGTTCCCAGAACTGAACATAATATCCCAAATGTAATCTTACGGGAACAGAAGACCACAGCGGGATTATCACCTCTATTCCTGGAAGCTGCCTCTCTCAATGCAGCCCAAAGCTTCATTAGCGGAAAAGCATCCAAATCCCCCTGCTGATTCACTCGGAGCTGGCAATCCACTAACACCCTAGGTCTCTTTCAGACAAAGGGCTATCTAACTCATTATGCCTCTCCATCTTGTACTTATGAGTTTGAACCTTTCAATGACTTCTAGCAGCACCTTTTTCCAACCCTTCTTTCCTGGCTACACCCAGATACTGGGATATGGCGGGAAGAAGGGATTTCTGGCATGACCGATTAGCCAAAAGGGAGAGGGCTACCAGCGGGGCCCAACTGAACATCTGCCATCTGCCCTCTGCCATCCCATTCCCTGGCTTGGTCTTTCATGAAAAAGACCCAAATGAAAATCTTGAAGAAGCTAATCAGACCAAATCTTCTATTTTATATATGAAGGAAGTGAGGCCTAGAAGAGGAAAGTGATCGGTCCAAGGTCACCCAGGCTGCAATTCAGACACAGTTGGTGTCCAGAGAATGACTCTTATAAAAATAAATAATACAAATACAATAAAAAAATAAATTAAATAATAAAAAATGAATATATAATATATAATAAATAATGATAAAATAAAAATATAATATATAACAAATATAATGATATAAAATATAAACAAATAAAATCTTAGCACAAAAAGGAACTTTTGAAGTTACCTCCCTACATCCCAGACAGGCAGTTACCTCAACTTTCCCATCGAGTCCAAAATAGGGCAGCAGTCTCTTTTAAAGGCCTCTGGACAAGACAGGGAAGTAAAA